GCCCCCCGAAGGGTTTGTGGCCGTATCCTGCCCCGGGAGGGAGCGGGGGGGTGTGGAAAAAACCTTGGGATTGGGATCGTATCTCCTCGGGAAGGAGCCAGGCTGGCCGGACCGGTGTTTTGGCGCCCTGGGGGGTGACACCCATCCCGCCGCAGGCAGGACACTCAGCCCCTCTCCTGCCCCCCCCCCCCCCCCAAAAAATAAAGCCTCCCACAACCTGACCTAATTGTGCAAAGCTGGCTCGGTGGGGTTTGGCCAAGCTGTTACCCCCCACCCCCCAACCCCGGTGTTTGGGGGTGGGGGTGGAAGGGGGGGACTGGATGCTGCGAGCTTCCCCTCCATGTCCCCCCGATCCATCCGTCTGCACACCCAGGTGGCATCGCAGGCAACGTGGACCTCTCCCAGAGGGACCCCCATCATTCCTCCTCGCCCTTGGTTGGGGGGGGTTTGCCCATGCCCGGAGCAGGTGCTGGGTTTTGGGGATGGGAGGTGACAGCGCAGGCCGGGGAGCTGTCAGACAGGTTTGTGCGTGGCAGCAATTAAAAGCGGGGTGTTTGTTTACCCGGCGTGTGGTGCTGAGAACCAGGGCAGCTTCCTGGGTGTAACCCGGCCTGCGAGCCCTCGGCGAGGCTGGGAGCCATGGGGAGGAGAGCAGGGGGGGGAGGACTCACCCTGTCCCCTGCCACGCTCACCCTGTCCCCTGCCATGCTCACCCTGTCCCCACTGCCCCCAAAGGGCTGTGAAGGTCCATTGTCCCCCTCCCCGGTGCTGGGGAGCCGGAGATGAGGCCGAAGGCATCCTGGCCATCCTTCCTCCCCCTCCGCCTCCGGCCACCTGCGCAGGAAGCTGCATTGTCCCATCCGCATCCTGCCCCTTCCCTACCGCCCTCCCGCTGTGTCCGGCCACGGGGTCCCCAGCACGCACGCAGCGGCTGGACTGCGGCCACCTCAGCCCTGGGCCAGCACTGGGGAGGGAGCACCTGTGGATGGAGGAGCAGGGCCACAAGGGAGGGCTTGGGAACCGGCCCTGCGTGGGGTGGGAGCCCCATGCTCTGCGGGAAGGCTCCCCGTGGGGCAGGAGAGGTGCCTGTCCCCTGCGCACCCCGGGGAAGGCTGAGCCAGCGTCCCCTGGAGTGGGCACCCCTGGGGTCGTTTTAGGGAGGGTGTCCAGACCGTGGGGACCCGGGGGGTGGCTCGGTGCCGCTGGCGCCAGGCCCGGGCAGGTGCTGCCGGCTCCCGAACTCGCCCGCCTGGCTGGGCGGCAGGTGCCTGTTTTGGTGGCGGCCCCGGCCGCGGGCGGGAGGTGGGGCTGG